TTAAGCGTCAAACCAGTCAATTTTAAGCTTTAATTATTTATTTGCTGCGGCTTTATTTTTATAGAAGAGACCCGGTGACTCAAAAGTGTTAAAACCAACAACCGTGTTAAATAAGTTTTTTTTTCAACCGTGTTAAAAAAACGTATTTTGTTCACTGTAAAATACGTCTGTTAAACCTTGTACCTTCAGACAATACCCTTGAGTAAATCTAAACGTTGCTCAGTGCCACAAAATGTGACAGAACAGCTCTTAACAATACACTGAGTTTAGAACTTATTTTAGATCCAATATCATTTTTGCCTGCCTTTCATAGACCGCTTGAATTAACTCCTCTGGTCAACTTTATATTCGAGACCAGTTCATCAAGCCCTGATGATAGAAGCTCTATTGTTTTCCAAGGATCATGAATTTATTGACCAGAGTGATGTCCGTTAAATCTTTCTTTGAATGATCGGGTATGTGCCAGAAAATATGGAATATGATTGGGCGAAATGCGCTGTACTGTCAGATTCCGACGGCTTCAAGTATAGCTTTTGCCCATCAGGAGGGTGTCTGAAAGTTCGTCTTTTTTTTTTAATCGCCCGAAAAATGTGCTAGCGTGCGAAGGAACTGTTCTTGCGACATTGTCAATCTTCATTTCCTCGCGAAGTGCAGGACCAGGGCCGAGGGAGACAGTTTTGGCTTACGTTCGTCGTCCTGAAATTGTCCGCTATTGTTAGGCTGCGTGAAGCCTGGAGGTCAACGTTCATGTGGTCGGGGAGGGGGAATTTATTCGAATATTAGCCGAAGGACATGACGCAGATTTGCCTCAAGGTATCCCAACCGTGCAATCGCCTGATGCTCGCAATCCCAGCCGAGTCTTTTAACACTGACCGTTCCTGGAGGCGGTCTGTCGTCTTAACGAACCTGCATGAATATTCAGAAGTGCTGAAATGCCCCAGTTGCGGCACAGTTTGACACCATCCCGGGATAGGCACGCAAACAAACGGCTTGGATTATTTGCTTTCACCACCTGAACTGGAGATAATTATTATTATTTAGTTAGCTTTACTCTAACGGGATCATCGGGTTTTCCTTTCACGAATCAGCGTGACAATTAAGTGACCATTTTCAGACCGCCGGGTAAAACTAAAATCGGATTGCTTCTTTGGATTCAAAATTAAATCTCGAAACCACGAAGCCGTTGGGACTCGTAAAATACCTGATCGTTGTAACGAAAAATTCGTTACAAAATGATATTCGGGATTGGGCAGCAAACTGGCCTAAAAATGGCTTCGTCTTTTAATTGATTATTCATTATATAACGAGATTCGTTGTGACGTGAATCTGCTGTCCTGTATTCACTCAAGTACAGTAGTTCGAAATAGGGCGGAGCTCAAGAACTGACTTCGAAGCCTATGACACGACCTCGATATCTATGAAAATGTAGATATTCACCTGCATGGATAGTTTTTCTTTCCATGCATCACGAAGATCTGCAATTTTAAAATGCCAAGATTATCGATTAAATCAAAATCGAGCACTCGAGATTAATCAATAGAAGTTTTTCGCTTGAATTTTACATACGACTGCTATTGTTCGCGTGTAATGAATAAGGAAGAAGCGGAAGGAAAAAAACTATAAAACTTTCACATGACGAATCATCCTCAAATCTATAGGCTGGCGTAGAATCTTCCTTCAGTTTCAAACCATCAAACGAAAGAATAAACAGCATTCAAAAATATTTCAGTCACATGTTCTAGATCTAGGTGTATCAAAAATTCAGAATAAAACGGATCAAACTGATGTTTCCCTTGGAAGGTTTGAGTTCTCACGTTGAATAGATCCCGGATCAGAATATAGTTCATTTATACTTTACTAAAAAATAAAATTACTCGATTAGCTCCTGCTTCAAATACGCAGCTTTATGTTGTATTCTTACGGTACAGCTGAGTGACCAACATTCATGAATTAAGCAAGCACAGGTAAAATCTTTTTCCCAGAACATCCAAGCTCAATGGTCTGAGTGGAAGGACCAGCAAGCCCAGCTTGCCCTTGAACAAGTTGTCCATTTGAAATGTTACAAGGATTTCGACAACTCACCTTTGAAAGTAAATGAGTAATGCAGAGGAATATTCAGTCATTATTAAAAAGCAAGTATGATACAGTACTCTGAACGCAATGCAGAATAAGGCAGAAATCGTTCAAATAAACTTCGAACATTTAAATACCGTAATCGTAAGATTAGAATAGCAGGGAAGAAAAACATCTTAGTAGGAACGATCTTGTTTCATTTTCCCCAAGTTACCATCAGCAGAATAGTCCTCTTGATGGAGGTGGCAATGCACTGTACACATACATAACTGAAAGACATTTCGATGCACTTATACGATACTTCAATTGTTTTCCTGCAAATTTTCATTTGTAAATCGGACCAACAGTTTGTTCTGCTACATGAAATTTTAGAATTTATCTGTGCTATTGGGGTGGTCCACGTGTGCTTTACAGGAAGACTCCGTGGTTCCCAGGTTGGACAGCCAAATACTCGTCTATACAATGTCAGGAATTCCCTAGAGGTGACTGCATCTATTTGCCATATAACTTGTAAAAATTTCTTTTACAAACCGCGAAAAATCGTGATCACAAAGGAAATAAGGTAGCGACTGTTTCACAAGATTTTCTCAATGGTCCATAATGTCATTATTATTGATTCAACTTAAATAATTTGCAAGGTAATACTGTGCACTCGTATATAGGTCCCAGTCTAATACAACCATATTATGGTTGACCTTTCTTCGGCCATACAGTTCTCTAATTATAGTCCATCTATAGTACATTACATGGCAAACCCATTGTGGGATGCTGACTCACACCTTCATGATTGTGTCTTCTACTTACATTCTCCAGTACCGAGGGCGGTCGGAAGTAAATACTAAAGCAATTAATAAAAACTCAAATAAAAACAGAAATGATGAGTTTTAGTGAAAATTCAACATTTTTTGAAAATTTTCATCCCTTAAGACTTGAAAACAATCAAATCAAAATAAAGATTCCGTGCATTTACGATGGACCTATGTAGGCAGTACTGTGCATTGAAGAAAACCTTCGGGTACAGCTGTTCAGACGCATCCGTATGTAAGCTAAGCTGTGGGTTCATAGTCCGAAGAAAAACTTATAAATGGGGAATATCGAGGAATGCTGATTATTTTCTGAAATCTCTCTGTAACTTTTGCTTCCGAATTGTGTCAATAGGTGCACTATAGCTGATATAAACAGGAAGGGTCTGGTCTGGGGATTGGTCTGAAGTATTCCTTGAGAAGCATCCAATAATGTTCCTGTTAAGTGCAGCAGTTGAAAATGTCTCCCGGCCATGTATTATAATTTTTTAAGAGGCCGACTGTGTATTAGACTAATTAGAGCAGTGTTCCTCCACCTTTTTAGGACCCCAGACCGGCAAATTTCCATTAAAATTTTTTTGGAATTTCTCAACAATTTTCTTAGGACTGGTAAAGTTTTGTAGCATTTTTCCATTCTCTAAAAAGTTGTGCCTGAATTACTTTATGTAAGTTATTGAAAAATGTTCTGCTTTTTTTTACAAGAATATTAAGTTGAAGACCAAAATGAAGCAGCTGTAGTGGAATGTCTTAAAAAAATTAGAACGGTGGGCTTGAAGGAAGGTTTCTCAGAATGCAAAATTAAAATTTTTTCAGCAGGTGAAAATTTGTCTGAATGGTTATTTGGACCAAAGTCAAATTTTACTTTTCATCAGATAATTTTCAATTGTAATTTTCCTGCAAAATTTCAGAAAAAAATACTTTAATGTCTTTCATTGCTAATTTTGATAAATTTATTATGCTTGAGAAAATTTCCTGCGGACCAACAAAAATTTCTGCAGACATCAGGCTTCGAACCGTGGACCACCGGTAGTGGAACACTGTATTAGTGTGCTGGCACCAGATAATTTACGAAGCTAAAATGTTATTTTTCTTGAATTTTTATAGCTTCAAATGACTCACGACAACCAGTCATTGGAAAAATTTTGAATCATAATTGGTCCATGTCGTATAATGGACCAATACTAATTTGGTTTCTTGTTTTGTTTTACAAGCCATCTTCAGATGGTAACTCTACTGCACTCATCCTAACTGGTTATTTGTATTCACCCCTCTTGAAAACGAAAAAACTCCATGTTGAATGCATTAATTCATGGCATTCTGAAAATTCTGCGACTGCGACTTGAGATTGCATACTCCCTACTCATGTAATTCAATCCTGATTAAATGTCAACTGGGTAAGGCTAGCAGATCGAAGTTTGATTGCAAAGCTATGCGGATTCACCTGACATCTATTTTGATAAAGCAAAGCTCTTCGTTCCGCATTTATGACAAATGATTCTACACTGCGTACCATAGCGTTGGCCTACTGGTAAGAAGGAGGGGGCCTTAAGTCATGGGAAACTTATTCACTTTCATGAAAGAGGTCGCATGATGCTAGCCTTTCGCGCCTTCGAGTTTTTCCTAACTGTCATGGCCGCATTCCGGATGCCTTCCGAAAGCTCCGAACATCTCACCGATTCTCCCAGCGTCTGTCGAACTGGAGAAACGTGCACTGCGGTGCGGCGGTGGAAAATTTTTTTCCGTCGTACCTGCATGTCCGCAGTAATTTACGTGAACCGCTAAAATCTTGAAGTTGTGATACATCGATGGTACTTGTGCGATTCTCGCGAGAACGTGAAGACTACTTGATTCACATGAGGTTAAAATGAAGTTGTAGCTCAAGTCATTGCTGAATGAAACTTTGCTCTGGTATATCATCGTCTGCGTGATGATATTCCGTTCGAGTGTTCCTTCACGCGTGTGGTCGAGCTTGCTTTGAAGTAACCGACTTTATTTCCTGCATTAGGTAGTGGTTGTGGGTGTATGAAAGATTTTGTAAGCAAAACGGAGCCGTGTGATGCATGACGAATTTTTGTCGTCTTCATATGTGTTCTTTGTTTTTTTGATTCACCTGCTCCCCGTGTTAGATTTCTCGCTCGTTTGCGTGGACTTGATTTTCTGCTCGCTTGAGTTTCGGCACGAAATGGAAGTTTGAAAGTGAGTTTGAATTGTTCGTGCCCTTAGAACTTGCCGGAAGTAACGCTTGTTCCGCTGTCCATTAGGTATTTTTCCTGTGCTGTGGTCTGATCTAGAGAATCTTGTCGATGTGGGGTATGTGAACTTCTTATGTGAGAGACGAACGGAGGAGTTAACACCTCTATGACAGTGATGTCCGCTAGTGTGAGGACTCCCTTGCAAACCGTCCCGGAGGCCCTACCTGCTGATCACGTCACCGTGCCTAGGAATAATATGGTGAGTTAATTTTATCGTTCTAGGGAACAGACACTTGGATTATAAAAATGAAGTGTTTTGTGACTGCAAGGGACTTGTTGAGATTTATATGTGGTTCGAGGGAAGTACAGTACTTCTCTGATATACTGGATGACATGATGTTTCGTTTCCGGAGTTCAAAACCTGAATCTACATTACTTCCATCTGCCGAACCTCGCGTTCACCCACGTCTTGTTCGGTCAGTCCTTATTTTTCGGAATATGTTTCGCTGATTCTTGGTTATGAACCGTTCTATGACGAGCTTGTTATCTAAATCCCATACTTTCGAATTAAAACATGATGGGAAATCTCAAAGCAAATTTAACTGAAAGTCAGAGTGACTTCCCATTTTTAGAAGAACGTGCAGTAGTATTCTTCGTTATGATTGCGAGGATTGAGTGAGAAAGCAGTGACGGTCTAGAAGAGAAATGACACGTACATACATCTGACGCGTGCATTCGACCTTCTCGCGAAGTTCGGCCAGCTTCAATACATTTTTTTGGATGTCGTGTCGATCAGATTTCTGTAGTGTCTCGGTCGTAAATTTCTCGGGAAGAAATTCGCCTCTTCGATGCTGAGTAAGGTGTTTGATCTGACTGCGTTCATGTTCGTGTTTCGTATGAGGTCCTCGAGCGAGTAAAATGCTCGTGGAAGGTTTGTTGAAGCATTTGTGAAATCTTTCCTTGCGCTGGTTGTTCTAAACTCATTTCACTCTTGTGAGCCACGTTTGAATTGTAAGAGCCCGAGCGTCATAGACGACGCGCTGAGAGTTCACTCCGACATTCTTCCACTAATATTCTCTCCCGAATATTCATGAGTCTCTTCGCCACCTGTGCCAACTTTTGCGATCCGTTTTGCGGTCACGGATTCGCAAAGAATACTCTGCCCTAGTCTTGTGGCTGAAGATCAAATAAAAACCTTTGTATGTTGTTAACGTGTACACGTCGAAGAATCGTGTATCCACCGGCAGATTTTCATTGTCATGTGCCTCTGTGTATGTGTCAAATGTCGACAGTTATGCTCAGAAGTCGGAGGATCTTTCCTGAGCTTCTCCTTTAATTACATCTCGTAGAGGTGAACAGATCAGCGGACTGGCGCTGAGGTTAAATTGGCTTCTTTTCTTTGTTGTTGAACGACGATGCATAAGTGTTATCTGGCTTGTCATCCATTTAGCTCACCCGGAAATGCACCTGCTCCAATTACGGAATCCGTCATATTTTTTGCGCGTCGAATTTTTTTGTTCTTGAAAACATGAAAAATGTATTTGTCCATCGCTCTTCTCGACGCAACATTTTCGGGATGTCAACCGGACCAAAAGCATGGTACCCATTAATTCTGTCCATCAAATTTACCCACACAAAGTTTCGCGGGAACGGGAGGACCATTATATTAGTGAAGTTACGGGAAACTGAAATGTCGTGGTTGTTTCTCTTGATCACATTGACGTCTGATTGATTCTGCGAGAATCTTACGACCGAGGTATAGAATATCAAATTTAGATAAATTTCATGCAATTTTGAATTTTTACGGGTACTGCAAAGAGCGTGGCGGAACGGAGTCGTCGTTGGTTTCCATTTAGTCACGAGTATTTGAAGAACTGAATTGCACAACGCCTAAATGATCGAATTCGTGCCGCCAGGGTCTTTTATGCTGATCGATCTCGAGGAGACGTGTGTGATTCATGTGTGATTCGAGCAGCTGGGAATAAGTGAATTTGATTTGCATGATATCCGAAAATTAATTGTACTGAATTTTTTGTGCTCGTTCACCCTCGTTTGCGGGAGCCGGCTTTTGATTTACTGCCATTTTTTCTCAATGCCGAAAAAATTAAACGAACCAAAATGTATTTACCGTATTTTATTTTAATTCAAATAATTCAGTCCACAACTTCACATTCATCTTTTCACAAATTAACGAGAAGAATAGTGCTCAATGATGTGAGGCATATGAATGGAATCGGAATATGATTAAAAAAATTAGATGCTTAGCTATGAGAATGCGCGGCATCACAGAATTCTAGAATTTTTGTGAGCATTCACATCAGTATGGAACCAAAGGAAAATTTTAAGGTACACAGGAAATTAATGAAATACCCCGAAGTCCATGAAGTAATTTTGTTTGCTGTTGTTCCTTATCCAATCAAGTCAAGGGTGAAAGCAACTGTGCTAGACAATAAGAAGGGTAGTTGTATCTGATCACCGGCTCGTCATTGTTGGCTTTGACTAAGAAATGTATTTGAAGGATGCAGTGCAGTACACGTGTTGGACTGGGATTCTGACCTAAAACTAAGAACATCCACTTCAGGTGTGCCAATGCGCATCTGCATTGATACACATACTGAATTGGGCTTGATTCTATCCACTTGTATTCCATCAAGTATGACTGGGCGATAAATCCCTTTCCATTAGTTTTGTGACTACTGAAATCCTGTCGAACGTCATGGAGGAATTGGGCATGAGTGCTGCATTCTGGCTGCCTCTGGGAAAGTTTTGTTTTGCATCAAACCCTCCCCATAGATTTCATTTGAAAAGTCTGGAATCGGTACAATATTCTCTCTGATCAAAGCATTTTCAGAGAACTGTTGCCAAGCCTAGGTAGCTGGCCTTCAAATTAGGACAGGAATGCTGTATCCCAGCTTCCACTGGGAAATTTCGTTGCCATTGTTGTTTCATTGACCAGAACAACCGACGGAAACATTCTGAAAGGAATCCTGGGTTCCCAGGACATAAAGAATCATTCCCAAGTAAAACGTGTTTTGTTTATCTACCGGCTTGATGAATATTGAAGGCTGCACGAAAATCAGTCAATCATTATTGTTTATCACCAGGAAACGCAAGGGCCATTAAAAATCATGAAGCATATGCTATATTTTTACTTGGATATTATTACTTTCTTTAGCTTATATATTTATATGTTCATGCAAGTACAGTACTGTATTCATGGTAATAAGTTTTGTTTTTCTGTGTCCTTAGTTTGTTTTAACTGCTTGCATATTTTTTATTTTTTATGAGTTTTGTTCTTTCAATTTCCTCAGTTAAAGCAAGTTTTATGTAAATGATAGTTTCATCAAAATTTCCGCCAGTACATAAAGGTTTTCAATTTTACTATAGTATGAACTCGCTGAATATCGCGAACTCGCTGATAAAGTATGAATCGGAGTAATCATGCATCCGCTTTTTCACTAATTTTTCAGTTTTTACGAATTCGATCACTTAGGCGTTGTGCAATTCAGTTCTCTGAATACTCGTGACTAAATGGAAACGGACGACGACTCCGCTCCGCCACGCTCTTTGCAGTACCCGTAAAAATATGATTGAAAAGCGAATTGCATATTAATGCGTTTCTGTTAATTCCATTTTTTGAAGCACCTGTGCTATTTTTGAGATGCGTTCACGTAACAAGCATTCTTATTATTCGCCTCTTCCTATTTATATTGCATGTTCAATACTGCAATCAGTACTACAGTAGAAATACTGTTGAAGCGGAAATGTACACAGGTTACCGTTATTTTCCAATTTCACGGTTTCATTTCAGTTCTGTACCTCATATATTACTGTACTTCGGTAAGTTCTATACAGGAACGCTCTGAAGAGCAGAGGGGGTGTATTTTTGAAAACTTCGTGATGCACTTTACTCACGTTGAATGAATCATTAATTAATTTTAATCAAGACAAATTTTGAAATCTTAATAAATTTACCGGAGAAGGCGCGTAATTAGATGGAAACTGAACTTCGTACGAATCCGAAGGAAACCATTGACAATTTTGATGTCGATGTTGGTACGGAACTAGAATCTAGATCAGAAAGCGCATCTAAATTTCGGTAAAGAAAGGTGTCGCAATTACTGAATATCTCATGTTCTATTAAAAAAAAAAGTTTCCGCACCCTCGTTTTGAATCCCGAAATTCGCAGTCTTTCTGGCAATAATTCAGAGACCATACATATTTTCTCCGGCTGTTGAATACAGGATTGACTTGAAGCTCGTAGAAATTTCTTACGTTCGCCGTCGTCCAACATAATTTTAAAAGCGACTCTCTGCGTTCCTGTTGATTAATTTTGGGTTTATGAGGAATGAATCATTAGTGACTTTTTCGAATGAATTTCCGGTAGTTGAGCCTCGAAATTTTCTGACGGAACAGTGGATTTCGTCAAGTTCTGTCGAATTTGGACCACTCGTTTGCCCACCGGGAGAAGCTAGTTCGTGAGCACGCATAGCTGCCGTTGCAGCCATGCGCGACGTTCGGGCAACTTGGAAAGCAAGCTGTATAGAAAAGTTCGCACGCTCAGCTCGCCCTCGCCGTATTTCTTTGGAATAATTGCGAAAATACGAAATCATGACCATCAGATTGACTTAGTGCAAGCGGCTTATATGGTCAACCGACCTTTGCTCGAAAGCTTTGTATGCAGCAGAATTGGTCCGGAGTATCGGCGTCTTTGGGGGAATATTTAGATTTTCTGTTTCGGAATAAAGCCACGTATTTTTGGTTGAAAATTCAAAAGTATTTTTGGCGGAAACCCCGGTTCATGGGACATTCAAGGTGATGGAAAACTCCGACTTCGTGCTGTGATGCATCAATGGATGTCCTAAAGAGGAGTGAGCATCAAGCGGATTGCAGTATTGATACTATGATGTTCAGTTTGGTAAAAACAAATTTTATTAGAAAGTTGTTGTACATGATTTAGGTACTGCAGTGTTGTGATGAAATAAATAAGTCCATGCTGAAGTGTCGCGTGCAGTACTGTATTTCAAGTCCTTGTGGTGTTCGGATTACTTTACATGTCGCCTGAGAACTTTGGCTTTCTCCTAACCGTCCTTGGTTCGTTTGAAGGCACTTCCTCCAAGTAATCTCCTTCGTCTGATGTAATTTGCAATCTTGACCGAATATTACTTTTCGTACTTCATTGTGTGCAGCGCAGTAACGCGATAATCTTCTGCGCGGCCTCCTGGATAGACGATTAACGCATCAGCTTTCAAAGTGTTC